CCTTATCCATTCTTCTATCGATGGGCACTTAGATTGCTTCCATATCTTGGCTATTATAAATAATGCTGCAATAAACACAGGAGTGCATACATACATCTTTTTGAATTTGTGTTTTCTTTTTTGTTTTGTAAATAAATACCCAGTAGGGGAATTACTGGATCATATGGTCTATTTTTAATTTTTTTAGGACCCTCCTTCTGTTTTCCCCAGCAGCTATACCAACTTACACTCCCACCAAGAGTGCACAAACGTTCTTTTTCTCCACATCCTCACCAACACTTACTATTTCTGTACTTCTGAATTTAAAGTAATGAAATCAGCAGTTAATCTGGACCAAAAAAACCACAATACACTATGGAGTATCCCCAAAGTCTGGAAACATAAGGAAAATAATGTATTTATTATGCTGTTTTCCAGATAAACAATTATATCCATTGTTTTAAATTTGGAAAGGTATCCGAAAGGTTGACAAAAAGCATACTGAGCATATTATTTGAAAACATAATACTACATTTTCAAGAAGTCTCCTGACTTCTTGGGCTCTCTACATTTGTGTGTGCCAGGCACTATGTTAGGCATTGGGTACACAATGGTGAACAAACATGGTCCCTCCCTCACATTAATTACCATCTACTTACAAGAGTGGAACACAGATATTCCTGGAAGTGGGTTAGAATGATATCTATAAATTTTTGACAGCAACATTAGGAATAAACATAGAGGTGAAGGAAGGAGGGAGAAAGGAAAGAAGGAAGGAAAGTAGTTCAGACTCGTAGGATTAGAAACATAACATTTTAGAACCAGAAGGAAATCTCAGAGATCATCTAATTTAGTGGCTTTTAACCACAGCTGTGCATCGAATTACCGAAGAAGCTTTTTCAAGCTAAATGTGCAAGACCCCACCCAAAAGCCACTGCCTTAAAATCTCTGTGTATTTGTATTTTGAAAAAGCTCCATAGGTGTTTAGGATTCAAACCTTTGGTTAATATATACTGATCTAAACTAATTCCCTCACTTAAATATGAGGAAATTGAGGCCCAGAAAGGTTGAGAGGCTGACCTGAAATCACACAGCTATATTGCAGTCCCATTTTTCTAATTTTCAGAAAAAGACTGTAGAAAAACTGACTTTTTCTGCACTATTATACCACATCACCACTGTCTACTCTTGAAGCTCTGCTCAAGAAAAAGGATAAACTGACCAACACTTGTTAAAAGTTACTGAACCAAAGTAAAAAGCCAGTGTCTATGGGCAACACAAACATACAATTAACAAAAAACCCATCATATACCATAGTAACCTCGTTGCTTCCTCCTTAAACAGCCAAGTCAAGCTAGTTTAAAACACTCTCAAATAAATATGATTATTCCTATCAGTTTCTCATTTCACCACTGCAATGAACCATAATTTTGGTTTTCATGGGTAAGGAGGGGGAGAAGAAGAGAATGATTTTTTTCCTGGCTTATTCCTTAAAATTCAGAAGGTTAAAAAAAAGTTTCTAACACTTCAATATGAAGAAAGCCTGGTCTGCTTTTAACACGTTTGGCAGTACTTAAGGACATGTTTTTGGCTATTAGCCTGGCAAGCTGTTTAAGCTTATAGAAGGCCCACAAAGAGAACTTATATGATTAAGTTAGTTAAACACAAACATCTTCTCTGTATATTTTATCCCCTCCCTTCACATTCACAAAAACATAAAAGGCTAAAACGTTTTAGAACTAGGTGAGGGAAGCAAGTTATTTATCACTTCAGCTCCTTTCTCAAGGCTTGTGTAAATAAGAACTAAAGAACTCAATGAAATTATTCATATGATCCTTGCAATGAACAAAGCTAAGCATCAGAAAGCAGTTCAAAATTCCTCTGAAGCATATGTATTTTCTTACAAGAAACATCTGTGATTCTCTAATGTACTTCAGACCTAACTTTATCTCTTTCTAAAAATTATGTAACACGCATACACTTCAGGCACCAAACATACTTATTAATTACACAGAGAAGAATTTAAAATGCCGTCTCTTTTTGACACACATTATAGCAAGTATTCCAACACTGGAGCACTAAGCAGTCTTCTCACATAAAATCTAACAGTTCCCTAAATTGTTTGGAAGTGATGTTTTAAAACAAAACAAAATGCCACACTATCTAGCTCTTTTTCAGATCCTAACTAAGGAACTTAGATTATTCAAGCATGTAAATAACATAGTTGGAAATATCAATTACAGTTAACAAGTCATGAGTGTCTCCAGAAGATTACCATATTATTTGCTTATCAGGGAGATAAAAGGGGGAAAAAAAGAAGTGCAAATGCTTTTGGTGAAACTGTAAATGGTTTAAAGCAGTTTACTATTTTTAGACTGAAAGACTGGTGTGTATATGTTTGTACTTGTGTGCACGTGTGCTCGTGCACCCAGAAGACAGCATTTTAACTAGGGCAGAGGAGCTGGCCAATAGAGAAAAGGGTTTTAATAGCCCTTCTATTTCAACCATAGCTACTGTGGGTTTTGTCACTATAGCAATGGGCCTGGGTGGGGCATGTATCTGGCAGGCTCGGTGCTCAGCTGGTAAAGCAACATAAACCTCATTTTACCTCGAGCTGAGCAAATTTTCTCTAAGAAGGACAGCAAGGATAAAGGAGAAGTCTAAGCATCAGTTGGTGGGCACTTCTTCCCAGGACACTGCTATACTAAGGCTAGCCTCACACCTTCTCCTTCATTGGATCAAAGGCCTCCACTATCACTCATTGGTGGTAGTTACCTTGGATTTAGGCAGTAACCTAACCTCCCGGATCTCAATGATTCCTAGCAGCCTGGGTTAATTTCAGCTGTCTCTCCAGGGGCTACATGAAACATGGCATTTACAAATTTGGGTTATACAGCACTATTTATTACACTATGGAAGATTTCCAAAAATGCCAGAAGAGATGTTGGCATTCATGCAAGTCAACTACTGTTCAACCCAAAGAAGCACTCTATTCTATAGGATGTTTTTTGCCAGGATTGAAAGAGCCTATGTGAAAACACCTTAATTAGGACCATCTTAGCACCTCAGTTACTGGATACCCTCTAGCTCTAGGTGTTATGTTTCAAATGGGCCAACAAACCAGCCTGGAAACAGACACCCCCAGTCCTGTAACCAATCCCTTCACTCCAAGTCCTGAGAGTGTATATTTTCTTATTTTCAGATTTAGTAAGTCAAGTATATCTGGTAGCTATTAAAAGATTTAAACCACTACCGTTTTTAAAAGGTTTCAGTGTTCAGAAATTTCAAGCCCACAGCGGGGGCCGATCTGGAGGGTTTGGTGGCTGCAGAATGGTGGATTATTTGCTGGTCTCCCCCCACCCCTTCAAGGAATATTCTTATTGATCTCTCTCTACCCTTTTAATGTGTTTTTAACACATGATCATGGGCTCATAAAAGTAAAATAGAAGAATCTGAAGAAAAGACAGCGTCCAGGGACCTAAAAAGATAATTATAATGATAGATTGCTAAAGAAGGAGGTGGGGGGGGGCTTGAAAAAAAAAGTTAGCCACTTAATCAGATAACCTTTCCCCCTCTTATTCTTTGGATTGGGAAATCCAAACTAGTATACGATATTTCTTTAAAATTTCCTCTAATGAACAGTTCAGTTAGGCTTGCTCAAAGCCAAGGGCCATCCTAGAAAACCAGGGCCAATTTTGTATCATGTTAAGTGGTGGCTACTTTATATCAGACTTCTTTTAAAGGCAACAAAAATGAGGGGGGGGGGTAAAGGAGGTGGTTATAAAAAACTTCACAGGAAACCAAATAGCCTTCATTTAAATTAAAAGCAATCACAGCCTGATTCTTGGAACATGCTTCGAAATGCTTTTTGGCATGCAGCTGCTACATGCCGCCAATATTGTGTGTAATTGGAAACATTTCAAACAGAATTGTTACCAAAGTCAAAGACCATAATTGCGAGCTGTGGGATCTGTGCCTCAGATAAAAGAAGGGCAGCTGAGTGAGAGCTCACTGCACTGAGGAGTCTACTTACCGGTCTGCATCTGACTGCAATATTTCCACTGTATTATTGACAAATCTTTCTTTCCAGAGACCCAATGAGATGAGAAGGAAACAGAGAAGCATACACAAAGCAAAAGAGGGTGGGTGCTGTAAATCAGCAATCGGGACAAAACTCTTAGGAGTATATGACTTCAATACTAGAACAACTGAAATAACACAGCCTTAACGTTTTGTTTTTTTTTTTCTTCCTGAAGTGCAATCCACTAGAAATGAAAGGCGTCTCTCCCAAGAGTTTACCCCAAATCTACCAGTGAGAAAAACGCAACTGCAGTTTAATTGGTCAGTGGGATCACTTAGGACCAATCTTATGGGTGGGGGGAAAAAGTTAAGTAAAGGTAAATGAGAGCTGCTTGCTAGTTTATAGCTTTAAGTTTTAACATGTTTACACTGGCATCTGCTTTGCTGACATTTTTATTTGTATGTTAAATTTAAAATCTCTCTTTCTAGGGAAATGAAGGCGGAAAGCTCTAATCAGTTCAGGCTGGGCAATCATTCTTGTTCCTAGAGAGGTCCCTTCAAAAGTGACCAAAATGCACTTAGAGTTCAGTCTAAACAAGTGAACAAAACAGAGACACAAGAATTACTACATTTTCTTTGAGAGGTTTGATCTCCGCCCCCCGCCCTCAGTAACTGGACATAGTACCAGTGGACCACTGGCTCTGGACTGGTTCTTGGAAAAATCGTGTCATTCTGGCACACGGGAAAGGGACCCGATTATTCTGCCGTATCTCCATGCCAGAAGTGTCATGACATCAGCCTGCTCCAACCTGTAAAGCGTGTCTCTTCCCACCATCCCTGCTTCCGGAGAGAGGGGACCGAGGGCAGGCCAGGCTTAGCTGCATCCCCCAAGCGATCTGAGAGCAGACCTCCACTGCTCCAAAGGTTCCTTCACCGGCACACGTGCAGTTAAGCCTCCCGGACTTCAGTTCAGCACGGCCTGTCCAACAGGGTGCCCTTACCGGTTACTGGGGGTGCGGAGGAGGTACACTTGGGTGTATCTGAGATGGGGAAGTCCAGAAGTGGTGGTGGGGGGGAGTGCTGTTGTGGTTCCTGGTGCCACCTCTGTCCCTGGCATTCTGTTCTGGAGTGCTGGCTCCATATGCTGCCTGAGGTTTCGAGGAACTGCAACAATGCAGGACTTGGCACCCGGATTCCTGTACTTTCTTCTCCCAGCGTGTTTGCTCTCACACCAGCCTTCCAAAGATATTAGTGCACAATATGGAAATGCTTTATTCTGTGACCAGAAGAAAAAGCAGTAATGGTCCCTTAAAACACCAACCAACCAACGAAGAAATGCAATTCATTCACTTCCTAACTCCTCTTTATTAGGGAATAATTACACGTGGATTTAAGCAAATTGAATATTCTCACACTCCTAAGAGTTAAACAATTGACATTATTTAACATAAAATGAGAAAAAAGAGACCTATCCTTTCCAAGAAGACAGAGCCTATCCTGGTCCAGTGGCATCTTTAACATTTTTATGCACAGATGAGAATCACTTTGCCTTTTTAAATTATTTCCTTTCTTTAAAAGGAAAAATTTCCTTTTATGAACTACTTTAACCAGGAAATTAACTGCTATCAACTAGAATACTGGTAATGATATTTTTTCCTGAAAATCATTTCCCCATAATATTGGAAAACACAAACTGTATATATAGGCCATTAAAAGAGTTACTTAATTACTGGAAAATAATTTTTAAAGATTCTTATTTCATTTCATGAGTACTCTGAACAGTCACTCCTAATATTCAAACTCTTGTGTTTTGCTTTCAAGTAATTACAAAAGTTTCTAGAAAAATTATCTTACAATGTCACTTTTTAAAACAGATTTCAGCTTACTTTTAAAAAATCCTTCATTAGAGAAGCCTCAAATTTTAACTTTTTTTCTTTTTTTTGTGTCTTTTCAGAGTCATCATAGGAGAGGATATTAGTCGAAACCATACTTTTATCCACATCTGACTCTAAACTTAATAGTTAGCTATTAAGCCTATAAGGGTTTTTTTTTCTCCCCAGATGATATTAGATTTTATTTGCATGACCAAAGCTGACTCATTGCAATCCCCTTTATTATAGAGGCAAATGGTGGTTCCATGGAACTTGATTATAAAAACATGATAAACTTTTTAAGTTTCATTGGTATTGCTAGCAGAACTGATTGAATCTGTCATTTTAGTAAAACGTATCACTTTTCTTTTGAGAAAACCTGTAAACCCACAGGGTCACTCAGTGATAAATCGACAGTAAGAACCACATTAAGGATGGAAAAATTAATTTCCCAAACCTATTTGCTCACATCAACATGGCTACCCTCTGTGTACCATCCAGTTTTTCCCCCTTCCTTCCTCCCCCCTTCCTCCCTCCTTTCCTCCTCTCCTCCCTCCCCTCTTTCTTCCCTTCCTCCCTTCCCTTCCCTCCCCCCTCCATTCCTTTCCCTCCCCCCTCCCTCCCTTCCTAGGTTTATTCACAAGAAAGAGTCACTATTGTTAGCCATGACTTATTAAAACAGATTTTTGAGTTCATCAGCAAGTGTGCTACCTCTTAACTGTGGGTAATGTCCATTTATTTCTAGAACCTTTAGTTTTAATATGTGGTGCACATGCATTGTTAACCTTTAAATCCTTTGTATAAACATTTCTGGTAGGGCTTGTAAAATATCTCCTTCTGTGTTTCCTGACTCGCCAGTTGATGGCATTTAGAAACCCTCTGGTACCAGCAGGTGCTGTATTTTGCTTTCTTCAGGCTCCAGCTGGGCTACAGTGACAGATTCCTGTCCCAGGCCAAACCCAGCCACCTAGGCTAGGACCACATTGGAGGCAAACTGAACTGGGCCCCACCAGACAGCAAGATAAATGGCTGCTGTCTAAGTTTAAAATCCCTTGGTGGGAGTAAATATTGTTCCAGAGGAAAAGGCTTGACAAATATTGCGTCATCCTTCCAGAGCTGTCTTGATTAAAGCAGAATCTTTGGATTAAGTTGGTGCTCAATTCAAAATGTATCTATCTTGTTGTCATGGGATTTTTTTCCCCCTTCCTAGAGTCTGGAAACACATATTGTTGAGGATGGTCAAATAAGACTGCCGCCTCCCAAGGGGCTGCAGTCCACTCCTGATAATAGAAGGCGGCTGAATGCTGACACTTCACCGAGGAGAATGGAGACAGCAAAGGCTTAGTGGGAAAAGGCCAGTTGTCACCTAAGTGACAGGCAACAGCTGAGCTCACACATCTGGAGCCAGACCAGGGCAAACACTCAGCAACCCTTGCTGGTCTACACCTTGGGCCTGTCCGAAGGGACAGAGAGAAGTGCCCTTTCCTTCGAAAGCTCATTAAAAAAATATCTGTTGGTGAACCACATCAATTATGTAACCCAGCTGCTGCAGGCCCAGCCTTCTGAAGTACTGATTAAAACGAAGAGGTACACACAACCGTGAGGCATGCTCACATGCAATTTCGTTCAGTATAAACTGTCCTGCATAAAATCCGTCCTAAAAATCACAGACACATGCCTGCTCTTCATAGCACAAATGCATCTGAACTCCTCTGGAGAGGCACGATCTTTCGATCTTTACCCGCCCAGGGTGTGCTCTTCACCTTGTTCACGGCCCAGATCTGCCTCCCATACTCTTTCTAAAATCAGCAACCAAATATGTTTGGGTTGTGATTCGGAATCCTCCTTAGGCAAGCCGCAACTCAGTGCGATGCCAGCCATCCTCCCCCACCCCTACCTCATTCTTCAGCCTGCAGAAGACAATCTGTGGACAATTTTCCCAAAGTCCCCGAAAAAAATATGGCACTGCCGAGCGTCACTGGCGATGTCGTTTGTTTTTCTTGGAGGGCAATGAAAATTTAACAGCTTTCTGCCGCATCCTGAGTCCCGGTCTTGCTAATTATTAACATGCCCAGTTTCTCCAACTTTTTCTGCCTAAAGGGAAGAAGACGCTCCCATTCTCTTCCACATACGTGCTACATTCAGAAAACACCTTTGTCGGGGCGGGAGGAGGGCGGGGGAGCTGATGCACCCCTGCCAAAAAGCAATGGGCCCTTTCCGCAGAGCGTTAGGAGAGAATCAGCACCCTTCCTCCGGACGCCAGTAGGTGACAGGCGATCCTAAGCGGCGGACACATGCCAACGCACCCTCGCCTCCCTGCGCCCCTCATCGCCCCAACTCTGGGGCCACCGAACGGGTTTCCACGCAGGAGAGAATCAAGCAAGAGTTGGTAGTGATGCAGCAAACAGGAGCCAAGCGGGCAGCCTATCCGAAGCCCTCTTGGTGCTGCAGCCCAGTATCAGCTTTAAGTGTCTACACAGCCCACAACAAACCGAATCTGCCCTTCTCTCTTGGTTTCTGCTCTGCCGGCCCGGTCTGGGTGTCACAGGCCCCCCGCAGTGACACCCTAGATGCCCGGCCCTTCCCCTGCGGCGCTCGCCCCCCACTGCCGCGCCGCAGCCCCTCTGCAGAGCCGGCCGGAGCCGGGCTGCCACTCACCCCGCGCGAGGGAGAGAGAACTCGGCTGGACGGTCCTCTGCGCCGCGGCACGTCTGCGGAGCCGAGGTCCGCGGCGTCAGGGGTGGGCGAGGGCAGGCGGCAAGCGGAGCATCGAGAGCCCGGCAAGTCGCAGTGCCGGCCGCGGCGCCCCTCGGGGAAGTCAGCGCAGGCGGCGCGAGGCTGGCATGTTCCGGGGCGCGCTGTCGGGCGGCGGCGGCCGCGGGAGGCGGCGCTCACAGCGGGCTGCAGGCGGAGTGCGCCCGACTCCCGAGCCCCGCGCCGCGGCGCCGCCGCGCACCCCGCCCTCGGCCTCCGAGGCCCGGCGGGAGCGAAAACGCGGAGCGCGGACGCCGCCGCGGGATCCAGGCCGCTCGGCGCGCGCGCCCACGCGCACCCCGGCTCGGCCCCGAAAGGAGAGGTCGCTGCCCGGCTCCGGGAGGGCGCGCGGGCGCGGGGCGCGGGGCGGCGAGGCAGAGCGTGCGGGCGGGCGGGCGGCGAGCTGGGCAGGACCGGCTGGGCGAGCAACCGCCGGCGCTGAGCGAGGGGCGGGTTATCTGCGCGACGAAGTTCACCCAGGCGCGGCCCAGGTCCTCAAGTGCAGCTCGGTCGTCTCCTCTGCCCCGCCCCCGATTTTATGCTCCCTCCCCCTTTTTTTAACCAACAATCCTGATGGATTGAAAAGACAGGAAGGGTGAAGGGGGGGGAAGACAAACCCAATTTCCTCTGATCAAACGGTTTGGGGATTGCTTATTTGGGTCTCTCTTCACTTCGTGTGTGTGTGCTAGGGGAGAGGGTAGTTAATTAAACTCTTAGATTCCTTCGGGCGCGCCTCGCCTCGCTGGGGACCCACTGGGACTCGATCCTATCTCGTGCAATCCTCCAGGCTAGGCTGTCTCCGCCTGGGAAGGAAGAAGCCGAAGATGCAGCGTCTAGTTCCTTCCCTTCCCCTCCTCGACGGTCCTAGCATCTCCAAGAAAAGCTCAAAGTCTGGAGAGTGCGCGTGAGCAGCTCAGCCCACCCCAATGTCCAGAGCCTGACCCAAGTTAGCATAGCTTACTTAAAGTCGTTTTCAGAGCACTGATTTGATCACGATGATCGTTTTTCATTGGCCAACGACTCTCCAGGTTTTCTCTCTGCCCGATTCCCAGGGTTGGGCTCTCAGGCACAGTCTCCCAGGATGAACTGGGACTCGGCCTGTTTGGAAGTTCTGCCCTGACATTTGTGTTGCTTAGAAGCTCTCGCCATTTCCAATTCCAGATCAGTGGAGTCACACACCGTGTGGGTACGATTTCCTCCGAGGTTGCAGAGGGCAGACCCGACAGCAGCTGCTAACCCCAGCTTGACAGGTGTCTCTGCGAAGCTGAAGCTTCCTTGATCTGTCGACCGCTTTCACAACCCTCTAGGATACTGTATCATCCTCCAGGAAGATGAGTGTATGTGTGTGTGTGTGTGTTGGAGGTGTGTTGTAAGAACCGTTTTTATTCCTTTAAAAAAAATCAAAAAGGCCAATCAGAATTTTTCAGAGCACTGAGTCTCTTCCATTTTCATTGGAAGTGAAGCAAAGTAATACTCAGCAAAAAATAGACTCGATGAGAAAGAGGATGTAAGGAAATAACATCTAAAGGCAAAGCGAGGAGGAAACAGAACAAATCTAGGGAAATGTTTCACCTTGGCACCGTGCTCTGTAATTCCAAGTCTGACTCACATCTCCTGCACGACAGAAACTCTCTCCCTTCTAGATACACAGACTGGGTTTCTGATTCTCTGAGCACAGATCACTCAGGAAACAAAGCTGTTGCTTTTGAAATAACTCTGCCTGCTTGTGGTGTTTGTAACTGATGGGAATCTGAGGTAAAACAACCTAGGCTGTCTTGCTCCTCAGCATTTTATTGGAGTTAGCCTTTTAAGTTGTGTCTGTTTAACTTACCATGGTTACAAATGCTTCTCTTAAGCTATAAACTTATTTAGCTTCTATCTAACCTCCAGAAGGGCCCAAGAAGATAGACAACGTGATTGATTTCACCCATGAAGGTAGTAAAATTAGTAGGTTTAAGGGCAGAGAGTCCACTCTCTTTGTTAGTATCTGTGGGTGTCTGTCTGTCTATTGTCTCAATCAAGACCTTCAAATGCAAGCAGTTCCCGACGAGCTGAATGATGCAGTGGAACAGAAGCCATTGAGGATGGCATCACTTGTACAGCAGCGTCTTCATGAGAAAGTCCTCTTCAGTGGACCAGCAGGCATTTGGAGCAGGCAGAATTGGGGTGAAGAAGCTCAATGGAGAGAATGTTTATTAAGCCTGCCCTTGGACCTCCCTGATGATTGGGGAAAATGATACTTTCTTATGATAAGAAATGATTCTTGGGGCTCCTGAGTGGCTCAGTCGGTTAAGTGTCTGCCTTGGGCTCAGGTCATGGTCCCAGGGTCCTGGGATCGAGCCCCGCGTCGAGCCCGCATCGGGCTCCCTGCTCGTCAGGAAGCCTGCTTCTCCCTCTCCCACTCCCCCTGCTTGTGTTCCCTCTCTCGCTGTGTGTCTCTCTGTCAAATAAATAAAATATTTTTTAAAAAATGATTTTGTTATCAGAGAACTTATAACTCTGTGATGACTTCACAAAGGTTTTGTTTACTGAGCATCACACACATTGGGCACAGTAGGGCATCCATAGTTGTTCCCTCCAGAGGCTTATTTCCTCTCTGGACGGAGCGCTGGGCAGCATCTTTTGGATCTGATGCAAATGTGAATGCTTGGTCTTCAACCAGGACTCTCATAACATTACTTTCGGTGGCGCATGTGATGATTTGCAGTCAGAGAAGTCTGAATTCAAATCTCAGCCCCACTCCTTACGGAATGTAACCCAGGATAATGCAGTTAATCCTGAGGTGATTCTTAGTTTCTTCATTTGCAAATGAGGAGAGTAATACCTACCTCAGAGAGATAGATATGGGGAAGACTGAATGCTAGGTGTGCAGGAAAGACTCAATACATGGAAAGTTTATATAATGCCACAGCCACCCTTCTCTACACCAGCCTCCAAGAAAATCCTGCAAGTTAGAAAAGAACCATTATAAATTTAATCTAAAAAAGCATGTTTCATTGTGGACTATTGGGTTGTTTCTGGGTCTTTTATATTACTGGTGTTACTTTGCCTTTACAAACCAATATGGTACCATACTTAAATAAATTCACTTAGGGAATGTCCACTTCTGTTTTAAAGCCTTGGTAATAAATGTATTTTTTTTTAAAATAATAGCTTTATGCACTGAATTGTGTCCTTCAGAGATTCATCTGTTGAAGTGGTCACCTCCTAGTACCTCAGGATGTAATCTTGTTTGGAGGTAGAGTCTTTGTAGCTCGGACCTTAAAAAAGCAAGAACTGACAGTTTTGGCAGGCTCTGATTCTCAGGTCTTTTTGCTTCCTAGGCTTTGCTTGGTCCTTATTCCCTGTATTTGCCCACAACGGGGACTCCTTTCCCCGACCTGAAGACTCAGCTCCACCCAGTGTTTCCAGGGCAAATCAGTTTTGACCCTTTAATCATAGGCTTAGCTGTAAGGCATGTTCCCCTACTAGAAATCCTACATAGTTTCCCAGGGCTTTCTAGATTGAGCACACCCTCCTTGGATTAGCCTAAAAGGTCCCTCGTATTTGTACTCTAGCTCTCTAGTTTATTTTCCTACCAGTCCCCATCCTTGTTTGCCCTAACCATATTAAACTATTTACAGTTCTTTGAAAGCATCAAGCTATTTTATGCCTCTGTGATTTGAACATACCTAGAATGTTACCCACTGATAACTGCCCTCTTTATTAGATAATTCCTGCTTATTCTTTACAATTCAACATAAGCATCACCTTTTTTGATGGTCCGTTGAGATGCATATTGTTGTTTTGTCTGCTTAGCATCTATTTCTCCTTTGTAATGCCCCAGATTTTCATTGGGGAACCACTTTCCCCCATTGTCAGTGCCCGTGGTTTCCTTGGTGACTTATCCCTGGACCAGGTGACTCAGACCTGGAAAATTAGAGGTCTGGATCCTCCTGATCAAAAGAATGGTCCAGGGATGGGCATGTGACCCAGGTCAGATCCTGGGATTTTGCAGGAACTTTTAGGAATTTCACAGCAACAAATTCAACAAATATCTATTTAGCATTTATATACCAGTGAGCTCTTTGCTGGAAATTCAACAGTAAACCAAACAAAGTCTCTATCCCTATGGACCTTCTTTGAGCCCCTGGATCAAACTCTGCCTGAAAACAAACTACCACAGAATGTTTCAGATGAAACTGATATTTGTTGTTGTCTTTTCAGCAACTTTGGTATTTAAGTGACTTGCAAATTAAAGAATACTAACTGGTATCACCATTTAGATGCTACTTTTCTCTGTTCAACTTCCTACCCTTTTATCAGGTCATTTGTTTATTTGATTAGTTATACCTGACCTTATTCCAAAAACATTTAAGGCCATTTTAATTAAACAGCAATTACATATAGCAAGTTAACTTGAAATTTTAATTTGAAAGTAAGTATGAAATGAGAAACAGAAAGGAGACAAATTCATAAAATTAATTCCATAAAGAATGGGACACAATTTAGCTTTTAGGTTTCTAGCAGCCAATATAACAGGGGTCACATAATTCTTACACAATTGAAAACATCTCTAAGATAAAATAATCCTTTCAGGAGAAGCACAATTATTGTTAAATCAAAGAGCAGAAAGAAGCACCCACCCCAGGTCATCATGAAGAAGGCTGCTTCAGACAAATGATGCACAACATCCTCGACAACATCCTTGCAGAGCACACAACAATGTTTTTCTTGGGGCTTGAGCATCCCTCAATTCACTTTTCAGAAAATTCGTTTTTCAGAAAGGGAAATTTAATTCACTCCACTTCGTGACAGGCATTTCACAGAGTGTATAACAATTACAGTGAAGTCAGTAGTCCAGAGTGTTCTAGTAGTACACAACAGGGGCAAGCCACATAGTTGGAGGGGAAGAGGTAGGGTCAGGGAAGTCTTCCTGGAAGAAGAGGCATCTGAAAGGTGAACTAACCTAAGGAAAGGTGTGTGTGTGTGCATGCGTGTACATGTATGTTTATGCATGTGTGTCCATGTTCAAGCAATTTAGGTAGAGGGAACATCATGTGTAAAAGTGAGGGTGTGAGTGCCAGTATGGTAAATCTGAGAAACTGAAAGATGTCCAGTCTGGCTGCAGCTTGGGGTGCCAAGGGAGAGTGATGATGGAAGCTTGGCTGAGCCTGGAGAGATGGGCAGAGGCTGCATCATGAATAAGCTCTGGTGGGGGAAGATGGTGGGTTCAGTTTTGGATGTCAAGAGAAAGTAACCTTCAAAAATGACTAAGAAGAAGCCAAAGATACAGGAAGGAGCTAGGGAGAAAGGGGGGTGAAAGAATTCAAAAGAAGAGGGCATTTCAAGAACAGAGTAGTTCCTGTCTTCTTCTGCAAAATTCTGCTAAGTTTTAGGCTGCTCAGAACAAACTGTGTTCCGTGGACCCCTCATGGTTCTATCAAACCCCTAAATTAGAGGTTTGCTGGAGGCCCTCAGATGTCCTGAAGGGTGGGCC